GTGCATGTCATCCTTTGAGTGCAGTAATTAATATTTTATTTTTATTTTTATTTGTTTTTATCTAGCCTCTTATGAAGAGTTCATATGACCCAGCACCTGTGAATAGAGGACTCCAGATACAAAATGATGACATTTGCATTGCTTTAAAATGCACACAACGTTTGCTTAAATGCATATATGGTATTTGTAAATACTATAATTTGTACTAGACTTCAACTGTTCTTTCTGATACCCACTCCTATAAAGACTATATATATATATATCAGACATGTTTACTGTACCATTTAGAAGATGGACCTATATATATATGACATATGTAATTATACAGTTGAATAGGCCATTGCACTGATTTAAAAGATGGACCTATATATATGACATATGTAATTATACAGTTGAATAGGCCATTGCACTGATTGCCCAATTGGAGACGCAAAATCTCAGCTGTCCTTGAGGGTGTTGCTTAAATGCATATATGGTATTTGTAAATACTATAATTTGTACTATACTTCAACTGTTCTTTCTGATGCCCACTCCTATAAAGACTATTCTGGGTTTGTAACAGAAAAACGTGCATTTTCTGTAAAGCTGCTCTGAAACTGCTCATGTGTTGTGAAATGCGTTATACAAATAAATATGACTTAACTATCTTTACGGTACCATTTTGAAATTATGGACCTATACATTTTACATATATGACAATATAGACTTGAGCTATTGCATTCATGACATTTTTAAGCATTTTTAAGTTATGGACCCATTCAATTGAAATTGCATTATTGACTCAATTGTTGACAGCCCGTTTTCGCTCTTATCTCAGTGTTATTTACATTTTAAAATAGTTCATTGTTCGTTTCTGAAAAAGAGACGCAAATAGAGACGTGAATAAGAAGCTAAGAAACGCGGAAGCGTCGCGTTTTTAAGGTGGAACGGATATTAAGAAGCTGCGAATAAGAAGCTGAATTCAGCCTCGTCTGATTATAAATGATATGATTGTTATAATGGTTCAAATTAATCAAATCTTAAAAGGTAATGTTAACTACACACACACACACGGCGGACAGTAACTAAGTACATTTACTTGAGTATTGTAGCCTACTTAAGTACACTTTTTGAGTATTGGTACTTTACTTGAGTAAAATTTTTTCTGGGAACTTATGACTTTAACTTCACTACAATTGAAAGACAAATATTGTATTTTCACTCCACTACATTTCTATCAAGGTCCTCGAAGTAGAAAGTCGTTACTGTGTAGCAGCTTTGAAAGTCAGTGGGTGATTTTTTTTCTTCTCTAAAACGTGACTTTCTTTTTTTTCAGTAATCACTCTTGGGGCTACATGAAGTGATTTCCCAGCATTTTTTGAGCACTGACCAGTTGCAAATGTGATATTTATTCCCCATAGGTTTTTAACATTCTAAAAGCTCTTTATTCCAAAGATACTACAAGCTAGTCAGTGTATTCAGTAGGTGTAATGTATTCTATGTTGCTTCAAAAGTATTGCAAGTATTACATACAAAAATAAAACTTATTTTTTACAAAAAATTTACTTTTGGTACTTAAGTACTTTTAAAAGCAAGTACTTCTGTACTTTTACTTAAGTATAAATCTGTCTTTACAACTTTTACTTGTAATGGAGTAATATTTGACCAGCAGTATCTGTACTTTCACTCAGGTAATAGAGTTGAGTACTTTGTCCGCCTCTGTATATATATATAGTTTTTTTTTTTGTTTTGTTTTTTTTTTCTCCAGAAAAAATTGTGAAACATAGTTTGGTTTTAAATAAATATATTGTTAGTTTGGTGCTTTCCTCTTAAAACTACAGTATTTCCTGACAATTAATTTATTTCTTTATTTACACAACTTAAGCTTTGATTCCATTTCACATGGGTTATTATTGTACCATTTGCTTCACCAGAGATATTCAACAAATAATGAAAACAAAACCAGATATTATTTATTCCAAAAAATAATGATTTTTTCAATGAACTAGAAGTTGATTAATTGTATATATTGTTTTGTATATTGTATGTTAAAGTCATCTCATTTTATAATGAATATACGTCCTTTATATGATGGTGTTCTGTCTGTGTATGTTATATCTCACAATCATGCGAAAAGCGTCTAAATTTGACCAAAAGCAGATCATTCTGTCAGACAGATTTTTGAGAGCATAAGAATGGTTAAACACTCCCATCATGTGGTGGTTCACTGAATATTTTGCAAAAATGGTAGCATTAAAAAATCTAATGAACAGGGTGGCTGATTAGTCTGACACATTGCAACATATGTAACTAACAGAGTGTCACATTTATATTTATATTTACATTTGTGTGCATTGTTTCACTCACTTACACCTTCCTGCTAGTGCTGCAATCTTACAGACCACTACAGAGGACTAGATGTGCCACTTAAAAATAAAATATATGAATTAATAATTTTTTAAAATGTGATTGACTATAAAGTATTGGACTGTTTTAGTGCCTAAAAAACAACTGAGTACAATTAATTTCTACTTAACTGTAATTGAGATATTTGTGAATTAGATTAAGTAATACTGAGTGAATATGACAATTTTTGTATTATTCCTCACCTCCAGGTATTTTAATAAAGGGGCTCAGTATAGCTTTATTGCTCATCGCGGGTTCGAGTCTCGTACCGGCAGGGATTGTAGGTGGGGGGAGTGAATGTACAGCGCTCTCTCCCACCTTCAATACCACGACTGAGGTGCCCTTGAGTAAGGCACCGAACCCCCAACTGCTCCCCGGGTGCCGCAGCATAAATATGGTGTAATTTCTTTTGTTTGTGTGTGTTTTTTTATTGCAATATATTTACTAAATGCAATAAATAGTTGTTGTTTTTTTGTAACTACATGCACTGGATACTGTGTTCTCCATTTTTGGATGTAGTGTCTAATGAATTATCTGTAGTGTGTATATTATTGACTAATGTGTGTATGATTTGAAAGCTTTGTTTGATTTTGAGTACAGGTGAAATGGTTTTGAAGCGAATGTTTGATTTTGCCAGAAGAGTTAGGGGTTTTGTGAATTTAGTTTGAATATTCGGATTTGTGTTTAAGGTTTTGAGAAAATGAGTGATGATTTCAAGAAATGTGTTTTAGCAATTCAGAAAAACTGTAATGTAGATGTACATGTTTCCCCCTGACTTTTCTGACAAAATCAAACAATCAACAACAAAAAAAAACATTTCACCTGTACTCAACATCAAACAATACTTTCAGATCCCAGCCTGTCAATATATACACACTACAGATAATTCATTAGACACTACATCAAAAACTGGAGAACACAGTGTCCAGTGCATATTCTGTAGTTACAAAAAAAACTGTTTATTGTATTTAGTAAATATTTTGCAATAAAACACACACACACACACAAAATAAATCACACCTAAGTGTGAATTGTGGTGAATATATATCTCAGAGAATATACAAAAAACACACACACACAGTCACACAACAGAAGAGGACAGAAAGGTAAGTGAAATATAAACAGTGTTTTATTGAACGGCTGACACAGGAAAGGAACGAAAATGAAGCAATGGTAAGTATGGCAGTCAAATGGCGCTTGCTATGACTTGGCTGAACAGTAACTGAATGTCTCTCTTGCAGATACAGGAACGAACACACGGAGGGCAGGTAGCAGATGACTGAAGACAGGATCCTGGACTGTAGGCGAGTATACAGGTGTAAACTACTTCAGTCTGTGTGCATTGAATTTATTTAATACACGAGTTTCACAATTTGAGTTGAATTACTGAAATAAATGAACTTTTCCACGACATTCTAATTTATTGAGATGCACCTGTATTATAATAAAGGCTATATTATATTATGCATCAGTGCAAAATGTGTTTGAGTGAGTGAGAATGTGTTTAGAGTTTTAGAGTGCTTGAGAAAGTATAACTAATGGTGTCTAACTGCCTGAACTTGTTTAAGGTTTTGCAGAAAGAGTGATTTATTCTACAAATGGGCTTTGTGAAGCAATTGTGAAAAACTGGCTTAAATGCATTGTTTTACATTCAAACAGAGAACACATTTCAAAACACTATTTCCAATTTTCCAACAAACATTTTCCGATTTTCTGATCCACCACAGCAATTTCAATAGACATCAAACACACTCAAATGCCCACGTCTGCACCTACTGCACATAATTTGAAGTCTCACCACTAAATGTAAACACATGCACTTGTAAAGATACTCTAACTGGGCAGTTTCTGACATTTTTGTCTCGCTGATGTTCAGAAGCATGAACACACACATTTACTAATTATCTGGGAAATAAACATACTTACATTGAAGGACACGTGTGACATTAAAAAGAGAATTACATTTTAGCTACTGATACTGAGTGCAAAACCTTATTAAATGACATATTGAAATAGTGGATGCTATGATATGAAAGTGAGATTCTTAAAGTATGACTTTATAGTCTCAATCACTGAGAGGTCAAGAAGAGAGAAAAGCTGTGATTAAAGGGGTCATATGATGCTGCTAAAAAGAACATTATTTTGTGTATTTGGTGTAATGAAATGTGTTTATGCGGTTTAAAGTTCAAAAAACACATTATTTTCCACATACTGTACATTATTGTTTCTCCTCTATGCCCCGCCTTTCTGAAACGCGTCGATTTTTACAGAGCCGTTTTAGGTAGGTGTGGCTGACTCTTAACTTTTATAAAGAATATCTCTTTGGATTTGAGACTTTAGTCTTCTTTAGTCTTCTTTATGCACCAAAGCGTGTAACACTCCAAAGAGAAAGGAAAAATTTAAATCGCATCATATGACCCATTTAATTGTTCATTGTTGGTTTTGGTGCCATCTAGTGGTACAGCTGATGTCATTGCCAGTGTGTCACTTCCTGATAAAAGTCAGAGACTGAATCTTCACTGAATGTTCATCAGATCATTTCAGGCTTCAGGTGCTTCATCAAGAGAAACAACAGCACTTATATCATCTGATCATTTTTTAAAATGTCCATCAGCATGTGGGTTATTATTGTATTTTTCATCAGTATGGAAGGTAAGATAAACCTTTTAAATATATTTTCTATTCTCAAGCAAAATATTGTTTTAGTGGTTGTGGTCACTGGTCAAGGAGCTTCCTAGAACATTTTCAATAGTTTGTAGTCAATGCTGAATTCATTTCTAAACAATGCAACATTTCAAGTCTCAAAGTGTGTCTGAAATCTTAGCAAACTTACTTTATTTAGATTTCAGAAGTCCAGAATTTTAGATCATATTGTGTTTTATAGATATTCTAGATATACTCGACTTTAGATTTTTGTAGTTTGATCAAACTCTCCATATAACCCCTGTTTAACCCTCGTTCATATTGTTTCAGATCTGGTGAATGGTGGATGGGATGAGTTAAAGACAGTGATCGAGAGAGAGGCTCTGACTTTGCAAACAGGAATACCTGAACTAAAAGGAGATGATGAGACAATGTGGCTGTTTACAACTGGCAGCCAAACCACCCAAATAGCACAGATGTACCGTAGTAAAGTATCGCTTCATAAGAGACTGGCTGACAGATTGCAGCTCGACCAACAGACAGGATCACTGACCATCTGGAACATCAGCGTCAGTGAATCTGGACTTGCTCTCACCATCAATGATTTCATCTCTAGGAAAACATTCAGAGTCGATGTATATGGTAAGTTTTAGCTACAGCCAATACTAAACAAACTACTACTGTGTCACATTCTGTGTCAGTATATTGAGCTACTTAAGAGTATAATGTTAGTCTTAAGTGTTAAAAACCTGATGTTTCTGACACTTAGTTTAACCTCAGTAAGCCTTTAAAGTTACCTTTAGCTTCTTTAAATAAAGCAGGTCCTAAGATTTTTTTTTATAGATACCAGGCCAAATTCCACTGTGACTTAAAATTGCCATCTCCAATGACTTTTTTCGTGTGTTGTGTTCCTCTAAAGCACCGGTTTCTGTACCTGTCATTAGTGGTGGCTTATTGGTCAGTGCAAACCACGTTCAAGGTAAGTCCCATACATTTAGGGGTCCAAGCATTGAAGATGCCACAACTTTATTGTATTTGTACTGATTGTCTTATTATTATTCATTTTTTGCCCTATAAGTGTCTGGCTAGCCAAAACTGTAAGTCCTAGAAACACCAAATTTGGCAGGATGATCCCAAATGCCACCCATTACTCAGGAGTACACGCACCCCTTGATCGGACCAAAGGTGGCGCTCTAATAAGTAGGGTAAGATGGGGCAAGATGCCCCTCTTAAGAACAATGTGGATTTACTTTTAAATTGTTACATATTTAGATAGTTTAGCATGGGTACAATGATGATGCATCAGCCAATGTGTTATTATAGGAAATAAACAGAAACATTTGCTAATTTAGTTGTTATAGCACATAATGTAAAATGTTAATACATTTATAAATTACTTTTGATATCATTCTTATTAATATTTATATATTTTTAAAGTGTCATTACTGTAAAAAAAACTAAATCAACTATTATTTTTTTTAATATGACTTTGACAATTTAGTTAAATAATTATATCTATTGACTTATACACAGGCACATGAATATTTACATATTTATATTTGCCCATATTTTAATTTAAGATATGTCATAATAGCAACACTCTGAATGTAAATTGAATGATTTCACTCAATTAACCTACAGGTTTTAATGAAAGTGAAGGATGTCTGAAATGTACATCTAATTAATGGAAACATTAAATAATAACCCCATTAATTACAACAAGTAATACATTTTAAAATAATAGCAATAGTAACAACATGCTACTTGGGGCATTATGTGCCCAACTGGCGGCCCATCTTACCCCAAGGGTCTACTTTTAAATTTATACTTCAAAATTAAAAATATAATTTTTACTTCAAAAACCTAAAATCACTGATGTGTCCACAAATCCCTCATTAACAAATAGACACAAAATGTATATACTAGATTATATTCAACATAATACAATATCATAGATCACTAATTTCTGATGCTCGGAGCACTAACAGCAATTTTTAACTCTTTCCCCACTAGAGTTGTTTTTGTTGTTTTTTTTTAAGTTGCCAGCCACCACCGGCATTTTTGATCATTTTCACAAACTTTTCATGGCCCCCAGAATATTCTGTTATATGAACATCTGAACATGCAATGTCAAAAGTAAGCACAGATCTTCTGCTTAAAAAAAGTTTTATTCTAGCTTCATGCTTTTTTTTTTATCAACACTTGAATGTGGTTGAATGTTGAATTTATAAAAGAAAGATACAGCTTTACGATCCTCTCCAAAAACAGCCGAGCTCCTGGAGGCGTGTCGTGGGCGGAGCTTAAGAGTCACGCGCCGACTGCCAACAAAACACAGAAATTGGATGCAGTTTTACTTACGGCCTGCGGTTCTGACTCATGACCGGGATCTTTTATCGCTGGGTCCACTCGATCTTTCAGTATCAAACGATCTGTAAATCCAGCGTCGAACTGGGCCTTGTTTATAAAACATTCGTCACCAAAATGATGGGAATAAAAAAAAACACACACACAAAACTCTTTTGTTCCCCCGGAAAAACAAACCGCATCACTGTTCACGTAACGCTGGGTTCTTTGGGAAGCTGAACAAGGTTATGTTTCCCTCACATCCAAAAACACACTTCTTTGGAGACATTCTTCTGAGCAAGTCCTGTGCAGCGCTGCCGACGACTTCAGTGACCCGAATGAAGCATGTTGATGGACTGCTCTCGGTCTCGCTCTGGTTGCTGTTTGCGAGCGCTCTTCCGGGAGAAGTGACCATACAAGGAATTCCGCCCTTCATGACGTCATACAGGGCCATACTTGAAAAAAACTTTCCAAAACTTATTCGAACCCGGAAGGAGTGTATTTGGCACAGAAATACTCCGTCATACGTCCAACTCGTTTTTTGAAACTTTGGCCATGTTTAGCATGAGACTCCAACTCTTTAACAGTGTAAATAACTCAGAATGCATGAAATAGAATTAGACCCCACCTTTAGGCAGTTTTGATTTGGTATGCTGTTTAATGCTTGATGATCGTGTTATTTTACATATGCACCTGCTTACTTACACGATCGCTTGTTTCGGCTTCTTCTTCATCGTGTTTTGATCTGGAGATTCAATACACTATCAGAAGATGTGTAATAGCACCCCCTACAGTATACCTGTGAAAACATGGAAAGTCAGAAAATTGTCAATTGTGGGGAAAGAGATAAAATATCAGCCATTAATATCAATGGGATTCAGGGATGAAGGCCGTAATGCTAATGTTCTCATAGTACTGCTGTCCACCTAAAGACTTTAGACTGTATTATATTTGAAAAGAGACATAGGCATTGTATGACTGTATCATCTACGATCGCCGGTTATGACTATATTCATTTAAATGTATTTCTAAGGACATGTTCAAACCTTTGCTGAAAAACCATATTGCACACAATCTACTGCATGCCTTCTGTCATCTCGTCTGATTAACAGTTTAGACTTTTATCAAGTAAAAGGCCTTTTAGTATAACTGTACAAATGTCCACCTTCAGCTCGTGCTTCACTTGTCTTTTTGCTATGAAAGCTTTACTGATTTTAAGTAAATGTAAGAATAACTTTTATATTGTGAGTAATATTTCAATATGAACACTTACTGGACTGAAGCAACTGTTGTAAGGTTTACTTGATTATCCATTCAACATTTTTCATCAGGCTTTTGAGGAATGTTTATTTGTTCATGTCTCAATCATCATTGTATTGCATTGCATTCTGTTTTGATCATAAAACTAAGCATTTAAATATCATCCTACTAAGACATATTATTTGGAGATACAGAGTGACGACTGATATTTATATAATTTTATGTTAGTAGTCTGCTATGCTGTTATAAATATCTTAGTGATTTACATTGCAATCTTAATTATTGGCCATATAAATAACAACATCTGCACCAAGCTGCATATTTTTGCTCAGTTTGGGCCTTTGAATAAAACTAAGGTGTTTTTTCCTCCTCAGAATTTCCAAATAGAGATTTCTGCTCTGTGGTCTGCTCTGTGAAGAATGATCGAGACGTGTCTATCTCGTGGTATAAAGGGAGTGAAATGCTGAACCAGACCAGCAATCCTGATCTCAGCATCAACCTCAGTTTACCATTAGAGCTTCATTATAACGATCCAGAGACCTACAGCTGCACGGCTGTGAATCCAGTGAGCAATAAGAGCATCCGTCTTCACATGAAAGAGATCTGCCCACGACAGGAAGGTACAAGAAATACTACATTTACTATAGAACTCTCTTTCTGCCACAATAACCACAATGAAAAGATGTGTACGTATAACTATTGTCAGTCACAGCATGGACCTATACTGAGAAAATGCCTTTTGTGTCCCATGGCATATTAAAGGGATAGTTCACCCAAAAATGAAAATTCTGTCATTAATTACTCACCTTCATGTCGTTCCAAACCCGTAAGACCTCGAAACACAAATTAAGCTTTTTTTGATGAAATCTGAGGGCTTTCTTGACCCTGCATGGACAGCAACGCAACTGAAATGTTCACCAATGTTCCATTCGTGAGAGTACTACGATGCACGCGCGTGCTTTTCTCTGCAAGTAAACAAGGCGTAGCACATGCATGTTCTACTTCAACAGCATCATGCGCATGCGTCGTGGTACTCTCGATAATGGAGGCACAGGGTGACTAAGGGGAGAAGAATTGTTGAATAAAGTCGTTATTTTTGTTTTCTTTGCGCACAACAACTATTTTCATAGCTTTGTAAAATTACGGTTGAACCACTGATATCCCATGGACTGTTTTACCTTTGTCCTTACTGCGTTTCTGGGCCTGGGAACATTTCAGTTGCGTTTCTGTCCATGCAGGGTCAGAAAGCCTCGGATTTCATCAAAAATATCTTAATTTGTGCTCCAAAGATGAACGAAGATGATGTACACAGGTACGTCTGCAAGATGTCTGTTAAGATCTCTTCATCTGGAAAGCATCTGCTGTGTACAAACATCTGACAGGCGTCTTTAAGATGTCAGCTTTACATACATTCTAAATGATAGACATCTTAAAGACATCTTCTAAACGTCTATTTGACATCTGAAAGGAAACGTCCTATAGACGCATTGCAGATGAGCAAACACTCAAAAAAATACGTCTTGCAGATGTAAGTGCAGACGTCAAATAGACATCAAATAGACGCCTCCATGATGTACGTGAGCTATCAGGGAAGGGTTTGGAAATGACATGAGGGTGAGTAATAAATGCCAGAATTTTTCATTTTGGGTGAACTATCCCTTTAAGTATATATTACATGATAAGTAATGGTTAAACCAGTACAGAAATTATATTTATTTTAAGGTTTTAAAGTGCAGTCGTTTTAACATTAAACAAAACAATTTGGCAGCTGAAGTCAAACAGAATAGATTAAAATGTTATAATTTAATACTAGATAGTTATACTAGTGTCAGGGTTTGTTTTGGGTTGTGTTGGTGTTCATGAAGTCTGTGTTTCTAGTCTTCATTTATTGTTTGGATGTTTGGATCACGTCTGTGAATAAACTGCACATGGGTTCTTCACTACGCTCGCCTTCAGTGGACTGATTCGTTACAGAATACACAACCCACAAAATGAACCCAGCAGATCGCCTAGTTTGCCTCCGTCAAGGTAATCGCTCCATTGAGGATTATGTGGCGGACTCTTCATTTATTGTTTGGATGTTTGGATCACGTCTGTGAATAAACTGCACATGGGTTCTTCACTACGCTCGCCTTCAGTGGACTGACTCGTTGCAACTAGATAATACTAATAGATTTTACCGATACTGATAGCTAGGCTGGACCATACTGGCCGATAACCGATGAATCAACCGTTAGTTTTTAAAATGGATACTGAATGAAAGCTAAAATAAAAAACAGTACTGAACCACGGTACTTTTAAAATATATAACACTTTTAAAACATAGAAACATTAATATCACATATTAATTATACATTGCTCATCAATATGAGTTCATAGTGCATTAACTAATGTTAAGAGATGCAACTTTAAAATTTAAAAATGTATTAATAAATGTTGAAATTAACACAATCTAACAATGAACAATACTTCTACAGGATTTATTAACCTTAGGTAATGTTACCAATGGACTCTAATTGTAAAGTGTTACCATTTCATATAAATCCAATACCAACAGTCATGCTTGTAGATGGCCATCTTTAAACATCTGCACAAAAGCCATAGCATTAAAATCACATGGATATTGTATGTATAGTCTATTTGTTCCTATTTTATAACACTTGATGGTCATCTAATCAATAACAAAACAAGGCGGCTGCATATCAGACAAGCGTCAGTCCAAAACAGTTCATTTAGTTACCAAACAGAAAAAGTTCACTGAACAAGAATAAACAAGTCGATGAGTTTGAAGTTCGGTGTTTGGAGTGGGAAAAAAACGGAAAGAGAAAGGCAATCTAAATGAAGCTCTCTATATGTACTTTTTTTTTAGAGCCACAGACATAAACTAAATAGATGGTTACAGTCGTGACATCAAACAGTTGGGTCGGACTTGCTTATATTTTTGTCATATTCGTACTAGCCTGATGTTAGCGTTGATCCTCTCAGGCTTGACAGCAAACATACTGCTGTTCTCCATTAATGCAGAATCTACCAATTTAATTTATTTTTAATGATATGAAAACACATACGGTAGTCTACTGTATACGTACCGTTTCATTGTCTGTTTTAAATCGGTATCTGAAGGGTCCCGATCTGTGCAGCGCACAGCCTAACTTGTCAAAACAAACAGCACGAGGCGTCAGTGATACAGCGGACCTTTGGAAATTCCGGCTCTTTTTAGCGATCCGGTTCATTTGGCTCAGCTCAGCAAAAAGAACCGTCTCTTTTGGCTCCCAAACGGCTCTTTATTTAGTACCACTTCTGGCTTTTCAGCCATAATTCAGCCAAATTTGTCAATGTTTCTTTTGACCCATGTCTGGTATGTGTGCACAAGTATAATTAAATTATTCAGAGTAATTAAACTAAACCATTAAAGAAATAAAATATATATATTTTTAAATATCCTGTAATATTCAGTTTTGTTAAATTACACTATATTTCAGTTTAAAAAACGGCTCTCAGATGGGAGCCGACTCATACCGTTCACTTAAAGGAGTCGACTCAGCCGAATCTTTCAGGAACGACACGTCACTAGACCTTTCTAGCCGCTCCAGCAAAAGACCAACCCGGAAAAACTATTGGTAGACCTATGGGGTTTTTTTTGCCGATAACCGACCCCAGATAGCAAAATGACTGTTGCTGTTGCTGTCTGGGATTGTTCCAGCAATTGTTCGACCTCTAAACTCTGATATTGATAATGTAAATGTGAAGTTTGATGTGACTAAATTTGAAATGTAGTAACAACTTAAAATCGACTGAAATGTGGACCTCATTTTTTAATTACGAGAAGCATTCAGTACAAAATAATTAAATAATATAATAATATGTAGCACATTAAAAAAAATGTCGAGTAAATATTGTGCACGCTTGTTGAGATAACTACAGCTGTTTTTCAAGTTGATCGGCGAGTCTTTGGGAAAGAACCGCCATACATTCACTAAAACCTCTCATTTTCTTAAGGACAAAAATGTTATAAAGAAAATATTTCTTTACTTAATAGAATTTATCTTAAGAAATGTCTTAACTTCTTTCTTAAAAAGATTTTTGTGAATCTGGCCAAGATTTTATATGAGGCCAGATCCCAATATGCCTTGAAATTGCATTCTCTGATGTTATTTCTGGGTCATTCTACAGAAAGTCCACTTTTGGTATGGCAAGATGTCTTAAAATTTTATTTTAAAATATAAAAAAAATTGTAACACTAAATTGTTTTTCAAGTGTAATATTTCTGTAAAGGCTAGGGACAGAAAAGTGGACGTTTCCATAGAATGACCCTTCTATGTGTTCTGTTGCCCTAAAGCACCGGTTTCTGTGCCTGTCATCACTGGTGGCTCATTGTTCAGTGCAAATCATTCTGAAGGTCAGTCTTATCTGTATTCTCTTATATTTATTTAAACGTATCTTAGCAGGCAAAGAAGATCAAACTTTGATGCAAAGATGTTACTTAGTGCCTATAAAGCCTGTATCATATTTGATATGCAAATCTCAAAGTTTTGATCAACATGATCAAAACTTTGCAAACATATACTACATGTCTTCTCTCGTCTGATTGATAGTTACAATAAGTTATATTTCAAGCTATAAAATCATATAAATAATTATAATTTTGGCCATATAACACTACAGTTTGGCCATTGAACTGGGTTTTTTTTCCTCTCAGAATTTCCAAATAGAGATTTCTGCTCTGTGGTCTGCTCTGTGAAGAATGATCGAGACGTGTCTATCTCGTGGTATAAAGGGAGTGAAATGCTGAACCAGACCAGCAATCCTGATCTCAGCATCAACCTCAGTTTACCATTAGAGCTTCATTATAACGATCCAGAGACCTACAGCTGCACGGCTGTGAATCCAGTGAGCAATAAGAGCGTCCGTCTTCACATGAAAGAGATCTGCCCACGACAGGAAGGTGTGACACACAAACTACATTTACCACAGAACTCTCTGCCTGCTGTAATGACCTCCGTGCAGCATCTGTTTTTCCACAGACAGACATTTGATGAGCCAGAAAATGTTCATGAGCTGCTCTCTTCTCTTTCAGATTGTCTGGATTATTGTGGCGTCACCGAGGCTCTGATTCGTCTGGTTCTGTCTGGTCTGGTGGGAATCACCACTGTTGGGTTTCTTATTGAACATTTGAGGTTCTGCTCATCTCGGAGAAGAGCTGCTGCTTCTGTGTGATGATGATACTTTTGTGAGACCAACCAACATGTCATATAGAATCATGCATATGGGGCTTTAGTTAGTTACAAGTCAAGTCACCTTTATTTGTATAATGCTTTATACAATACTGGTTGTGTCAAAGGAGCTTTACAGTGTCAAACAGGAAAATAGTTGGTCAAAAATGCAAGAAAATAAAGTCATTTTTCCAGTCTCACATTACTGTATATCAGAGTTATCCTAGAATTCACATCAAAGCTATCTTTCTTTACAAAATAATGCATTTCAATTAAATGAAACCCCTTAAAATGAAAAGCAGTGCCAGTGGAGCAGGAAGTGGTCTAGTGGTTTGTGTTCTGCAGTGGCATGCAATGGTAAAACAGAACAATACTAACAATTAAAGCGATAGAAATGTGTATATTTGAGCCTTTTACCGGTCAAGTCTTTTTGAAATTTTTGCAGAATCTTTAACAATTGTACCTTTTGTATCACATTTGTACCACAATAAAACAAAAGGTTATCAGTTAACACACCTGCAACCTTCATAGTAAAATAATTAAATTTTCTTGAGAGAATTCGAATATCTAGTCCGAATATCAAGTCAATCATCCAACAAAAAAATAAAAACACAAGCTTTTTTTTTTTTTTTTCAAGAAATGTTATTTTAAAGGAAAATTGTGCAAGCGTTAAGTTAATATAAAATAATTTAGAACATCATAAAAAACTAAAATACTGAATATTTATAAATACATTTTAAGCAGCACTTCTTAAAATACATACTGTGGTCTTTGTGTCACCCAGTGAAGAAGCCAAAGGTGACAGTGTGAAGAAAAAACTCCCCAAAAGGTTTAGTTACAGAGGAATAAACCTTGGGAGATGTTCAGGTGGAGAAGCCCTCCTCCTCAGGATGGCACAAGATTACAATACTGTCCCTATGCTGATTCCAAAACCAGTCATGTAACAATCAAACCCAGTGGCGTAATACACAGTATATATAAACAGAAGTATTTGCCAGACACTCTTATGCAGAGTAAAATGTACTTTAGCTTATCATGACTTTGTTGCAGAGGTAAACATAAAATGTAGAAAAACCCTGTTCTAGAAGAACTTTGAGACTTCTGGTAGGTTTACCAAGGTAGAGGTTTGAAGGCACGTCCATGGGATCTGACTCAGCAGTTTGGCACGGGATTATGATTGCTGAGTACAGGTGGGATGACCTCTTATGCAGACCTCTACAACAAGACAATGGTCTGTTGACTGCCTTGTATGCCAGGATGTTACTTAACTTAACTATTGCACATCATATTCAAGTTGAGGTGGCAGAAGAGATCTCCTTCATGTTGTATTCCCGGAGTAGGTTTTTCTTAATCATTACCTGTAAAGACGTTAATAACATTAAATTTCACCTGACTTTTAGTGTGCCACAAAGACGAAAGCTTTTTGACAAAACTATCACAATACAATGTAAATGTCTGACATACTTTACACCATGATTTATGATTCCAGGAACTTCTTCCTGCCTTCCAAATCACCAAATGCTCTTCTCTAGGAGTCCTCTGCAAGTGAGTTCAGACACAATATTTTAAGTAAGAAAACTCCTCAGCATCATTCAGCAAAAAAACAAAACAAAAAAAATTCTTACTAATTTCATTTATTTTGCAAAGCACTTTGTATAATAAGTGCTATACATCTCTGTGTGTATAAAATACCACAAACTGAATGCTGGATTATGACTGGCTCTCCAATTTGCCAAACAGGATCAGAAAATCATACGTGACCCTGGAACACATAACCAGTCTTAAGTGTCAATTTTTCAATACCCCAGTGACTTAAGACTGCTTTTGTGCTCCAGGGTCACATATGGCATAATGACTTCCTTGAAGTGACCGTCAAAGTATATGTTGCTAAAGGCCTTGTGGAAAGACCCTTCGTGAAGGGATCTATTTGCTCACTTTCATTTACAATGTCCTCTTCCCACTGTGCCCTTCAAAGGTGCAAAAACTGGCCCTAATTTTACATAAATGAGTGACTATTTCAAGGTCAGTATCATGTTACAGCTCCACAAAACCAAAACAAAATTGGCCAAACCAAAAGTTCATTAACATAGTCTTATGATATGCTATATATATGATTTATTTGCAATGGCAATCAAACACAAATTTGTCAAAAACAAAACAACACTGAAAAAGGTTAAACAAATGTCTTCACAATATGTACAGGCATTCCATTCTCATGAAAATAGTTGGTGAGGAAGAACATCTAAAATCATAATACTTCAGAGCTGTAGCCTTGGCTTGTGGGCAGTTTTCTGACATGTGCCAAAAAAAACCATTTAATTTGCATATGATAACACTTACATTGATACTTTGTTGATGACAGAAGATGCTTTCCTGAAGCACTTCACCTGCAAGGACAAATATTTTATAATACGTTTAAAAAATAAAAAAAAATCTGATTTAGTTGTTGATCTCTTGCATAATCCCAAATGTTCTTATGCATCTCAATGCACTTGCAGTTGTTCTCTTTTCAGTGCTTTGGACAATGAACATTGTGTCTTTTTAAAGTCGGCATGAAACGGAAGTTGCGATTGACTTTTTTTCTCTGCTGTGACGTATATCCGAGTGAAACGGCATCTGAAATGAGAGGGCGGGACTTGATTTCGTCCTTCGGGAATTGATTGGATCGTTGGCGCGCGCGCGAGAGAGACTGCCTGAATGACTGAGTGCGTCCTCCATCAGGTTAAGTCATATTCATGCAAAAAATTAGTTTGCGATGTCCTAAGAGTAATGTTGTCGTAATATCCTAATATCTTTTCAATGTTCATGATTTGTGTCAGTGCTATAAAGTGAAGCATCAGCTTCAGCTTTTCCCCTGTCGTTTATCCCAGCGTTTACGTCACCCGTCACCAGCTCCGCCCTTGCGCCATAGCTCGTGACCGGAAGAGAAGAGGAGTCGTTTTGAGGGGGAGGGGGGGGGTTAATGTTTTTGATTACGAGGGCACATGAATTAAAAAGAAATAAAGAAGTGCACGGATAAATTATTTATAATAAACTACATTATTCCATTAAAAAATAAGAATTTTCCATTTTGATTTCATGGTGACTAAGTGTTTTAGAAGTTTATTTGCTTGACTGCAACTCTAATATCTCAGATCTCCTGAGATCCTCCAAAAATTAAATTATCTCATCAATTACTCGCCTTCATGTCATTCCAAACCTGTATGACTTTGTATGACTGTAACAACTTACAATTCCATCCATTTCCGCATGTAAAGCTGATATGACTTCTGAAAACCTAGAATATGGCACACGGTTTTCTGGGCAAATTTCATCGTATATTAAATGCACTTTTGTTGTTCTGTTTGAACAACACAGATTTTATTTGCACAGATTTTTTACAGTTCACCAACAAAGATTTTATTTGCCTCTGAAAACACTTACCTTCTTGTAACAGATGCAAAGCACTACGATGGTCAGCCCAAAGATGATCGACACGATGATCAGCACAGTGACCCCAGCTGAAACAGACCCTGACTCATTATTGCCTGGACTGGGCAAAGTGCTGGCAGATCCTGAAGTTGCTGAAGTGCTTGTAAGTCCTGGACTGGGCAAAGTGCTAGTAGGTTCTTCAAAGAACAAGAGGAACAAACAAAGTGATTTTAAAAATGAATGCATGGAAATCAGTCAGCTTGGTGTGGTAGTAAATAAATAAATAACATGTGGTAGTTCTCAGCTGCCACCTTGACAAGTTATTAACAAAATTATCAGTGAAATGCACTAAAGAATCATAAATGGCAGAATCTGAAGAAATTGAAGAATCTTTAAATTACTGACGGTTGCACGTCAGGTTGACAGTAAAATTCTCCCCAAATTCTTCGCCATCGATGTAACTCAGTGCTTCGCAGGACCACGACTCATAGGAGCAGTTGGTGATGGTTAGGCATAGTCCTCTTTCCCTGTCCTTCTCCAGCGAGACCCCGGGCTTGCTCATGTTTCTACAGCTCTGATCAGGATCACAGTACTGTGCAATCTGGATGTCGCTACAGCTGGCTTTAACTTGACTGGCGTTAACCCATCGGGGAGAGCATCGACGAAACTCTCGTGACATCTCAGCAGCACCTGTCAAATGTATTTGCACTTTGAATAATTAAAAAATAGACTTAGCCTACAGAACTGTATTAACTACTAAACACTTACTGGCGATGATGAGAGAGCAAATAACTAGCAGAAAGTGGCTCATCTTCGACGCTGTTATGACCGGATTACTGTACAGAAGCGTGACACACTGTTAACTCCGCTCAAATGAACTGTAGTAGGGCGTGGCTAAAGCACTGACGTCACGTTACCTTTAGCCAGGTGATCGGACCGGATGCTGTGTTTCAGACTATTGTAAAACATCTCTGAAATTATGTTTTCTTTGATTCGTGTATTTTTTTTTTTTTTTCAATATTGTTTTGTTTTACAATATACTTTTAAGTTTTTATACAGCAAATCAATCTAGCGACGTGTTATTATTATCGAGGAAAAACATCGCGCGGGTCCCAGAAGCGACGGAGGACGGGCGAGAAAGTTCGAGAAACTTCTGTCATCTACTCTCTACTCAGACCCGTGTGTCGTGACCGGTTTGATCCGGCCTTTTCCAGGCTTTGTTCGGTTCTTAGCGCAGTGTTTGCTTTCACGGTAACTGTCCGTTCTGTCGTTTTCCTGCTTGGTTTATTGGCCGCTGACTGAAAATTAGCTAGCATGTTCCAGTACACAAGATTACAGTATATAACTCGGGATTTCTCGATCCATTGACTGTCTCGTCCATTCAATAAACAATTTACAAACAACATATTACCAAGCGAATGAGTTTATTCTTTATGTTGCAAAAGATGAATGGATCCATGTTGTGATAAACAGCTGGCTGCGGCCTACGCCATTAACAACCAAAACCCTGGAACACATCCGAGCTCAGAAAATGAAGCAAACAGCAGGATATCTAGAGAAGTTGGTTTAGAATAGGGGCATTCACAGTCATTCTTGAGAAGTGGGACAAAACAGGGTGCAAAATTAAAAAAATAAAACCTTATACTCAGAGTAAAACTTAGCAGAGCCTGTCTGACACTGATGTACTCTGCAGAGGTGAACTGTGGCAAGGGGGTGCTTTAGAGTGACAGATGCCCCTGATTTTATTACATTTGATTGAATGTCTGACGGTTATTCAAGATGTTTTTAACATTTCAAAACACATTCTCGCGTTAGCAGACAGATTACACTTTCACATGTGACCAACAATTCCACAACAAATATAAAATATAATGAACTATTTTCAAAATATTCAACTGACGGGAGTTGACGAAAACCTACATTTGTAGTAATTTTAACTATCAAATACATTGAATCAGTCAACAAATAAATTAATTAATCTTCCATGAACAGGCCTTGTATCACCTTTACTGTATGAAGAGTCCTTTAAAAACATGATTTCCCTGAACTATATGTTCTCCCAAAGACCTGTGAGACTAGAAAATGCTTTACTTCAGTTTTCTCTATTTTATTTCTTTTTTTCCTGGTGGTAATCAGCAACAGCATAAACACACACAGCGTTCACTCATCTGTGAATTTAACATAAGAAATGTATTGAACAGAGTTTGGCCACTTTATATTTCACTTTATATTTATATTTCAACGCTTCACATATTCTCATTTACATGTCGCTCTGATAATACAGCAATCCATTCAAATCAAATTCCAAGGATCCACTAATATCAAAAATCATTTTGTTGCTGAATGTGTTCAGTCATATTTAATGAGAGACACTAAACATACAGTGACCATAGAAGAGAAAGCGATCACACTGTATTCTTCTCACAAATATCAGCAAATCTGTTGTATTTATCATCAAAATAACCATTTGAAGAAAAACAGTTCAGGTTTGTAACCAAAATATATCACAGTTTGCATGAGTTTCTAATTAATATTTCTTGATATCATGAACATTATGAGTCATTAGCAGTGACGTGTTTAAAACTGAATCCTCATGTTTAGTTTCTTCCAAAACCAAAATGAAGTGAAATTAAACTCTTGAGCAGTAAAACTAAAAACCTACAGACATAAGACAAAGCAAAGGGAGTTGCTTTCCACAGCAGTCACATCAAAACAAAAGCTCCACACTTTGAGTCCGGTTTAACGACGGATCGACTGGCGGGTTTGATCTCCGTGAGGTTTAGCTGACATGAGGACTACTGAAAAACAAATGTGTGAAAGCAGATCTTCATCACTCGCTCCATTACTGATGTTACTGTCAGTGAGGAGGAACCCAGTGTCTGATCGTACAGGACTGTGAGTCTCATAGAGATGTTCACTCAGTGGAAAACAGATCTCCAGCAGACGGGAGAGGAGCGAGGCCGCCGGTGACGTTCGGTAGGAGAGAAAGGTCTGGAAGACTCTGGATGTGAGACTTGAGCTCCTTCCTCACTTGTGTGACGCGAGCCAGTTTCTGCTTGTACTCCTGCAAGAACATCAGATATTCAATGAATGACTGAATTGATCAGACAACCATTCAAAAGTGTGGGGTCATTCAGATTTTTTTAAAGAAATTAATACTTTTATTCAGTGAAGATTAATTAAATTGATCAAAAGTGACAGTATAGACATAATGCTCAAAAAAAAATCTATTTCAAATAAATGCTGCTCTTTTGAACGTTCTGTTCACCAGAGAATCCTGAAAAATAAAATGCATAAATGCAACTTCCACAAAAATATTACACCGTTTTCAACTTATAATAATCAGAAATTTTTCTTGAGCAGCAAATCAGCATTTTAGAATGATTCTGAAGAATCATGTGACACTGAAGAGTGGAGTAATGATGCTGAAAATTCAGGGATGATTTTCTCAATATTTAGATTTTTTTTTTGCACCCTCAGATTCCAGATTTTCAAATAGTTGTATCTCGACCGAAATATTGTCCTATCCTAACAAGTCCTATCCTAGCTTATTTATTCAGCTTTCAGATGATGTATAAATCTCAATTTCGAAAAATTGACCCTTTATGACTGGCTTTGTGGTCCAGGGTCACAAATTACATTTTAGTATCTATTCAAATAGAAATCAGTTATTTGAAATTGTAATAATACTTCATAATATTACTGTTTTTACTGTATTTCTGATCAAATAAATACAGCCTTGGTGAGCAGAAGAGAATTGTTTCAAAAATATAAAAAAATCTTATGTATTTCAGATACTTAAAAGTCATTTAAGTAATGCATTAACTAAAAAAATTATTTTCTTAGTCTTTCCAAATATGTTTGATTTACCTTCTCCCATAAAACACAAAAGGAAGCGTTTTACAGAAGCTTGTTTTCAAGCTCCAAAATGGATAAAAAGTACCATAAAAGTATGAAAAGTATCCCAAAAGTTGTCCATATGACTTGGCGATATATTTAAAGTCTTCTGAAGTCTTTGTGTGAGGAATTAAATTCTAAATTAACCTCAACTTAAGTTGAAGCACAATTATGATTTATCAGGGAATAATGATTTCATTTTGGTCTTTCGGATGATTTCTAAAAACTTGAATACAGTGCATAAGTCATATGGACTACTTTTTGTTGCTTGAAGGTAAAAATCACATCCACTTTCATTATATTGAAATCATCAGCTCTGCTATTCTGCAGAAAATCAAATAGAGTTGGAAAGACACGAGGAGTAGATGACGACAGGACGGTAAACTTGTCGTTAGTCTCGTACCTCCAGCTTCTTCTCCCTCTCGTTGAGCGCATCTCTCTGGCTCTGGATGTATTCTGTCAGCATTCGGGCCAGCTGTCTCCGGTCCTCTAACTCAGCGGCCAGGCGTCCGTTATACTCAGCCAGCAGCAGACAAGCCTCGTCCACCGTCTTTGACAGCTTATCTGCCGCCTGTTTATCTGCAGAGGACACAACATGAAGCGCTTCATCAGAAAACCACTTCCTGTTAGACAGGGTTACGTTTCTCCAGCGAGTCTCACCTGTGATCTTCTCCAGAAGAGAAACATCCTGCACTTCTTGTGGAAGGGATGCAATCTTCTGTCTCACGGCAGCGTCACCGGACGCAGCGTTCTCTAGATCCTGCAATGCTTTCACCAGATCCTCCGTCTGAGGATCATGTCAATCACACACCATCTTTCTTAGAAGTCAGGTTCTTAGAAATCATATTGGTAGTTGCTTTGAAACGCCAAACAGTTTTAGCAATATCTTGCAACGTGACATCGAATCAACTACCCAAGCTTTTTATATATGCATTATATTACATACATTATATCATAATTGTATACATTTATTACATTATTAATGTAAATATTTTTTCCTACCATGAGTCCCTTAGTTTGGGGTATAATTTAAATGCCATTTATTCAAAGAAGTGTGATTCTTACCCATGATTGTTGATATTGATTGTTATTATAGCATTTTTATTCAAAGATAAGCTCTTAGATTTAGAATTAATATGTATTTATATGTATATTTATATATTGTTATTTTAGTACCATTTTTTTACTTTTTTGTCTTCGTTAGTCAATTTTCAATGGTCCTGCAAAGTGAAAAATTAACCGAAAGAAATTAAAATACAAACTTTGTGTCAAATATAATATAATAATTAATATTATGATTTTTTCAGATCAAGAATTACGTGTAAAGCAGCTTTAGCAGTGTCTCTGAAAATGTTTTAAACATTTTAATTTAATTCTGTTATTATAGACATTTTTATATTATCTTATACATGGAACGTTTGCATTTTTATTTTATATTTCAATTTATTTTTCACATTGCAGGAGCATTTAAAATGGACTAATGAAGTCAAAAAATAAATAAATTGAAATATAAAATAAAAATGCAAACGTTCCATGTATAAGATAATATAAAAATGTCTATAATAACAGAATTAAATTAAAATGTTTAAAACATTTTCAGAGACACTGCTAAAGCTGCTTTACACGTAATTCTTGATCTGAAAAAATCATAATATTAATTATTATATTATATTTGACACAAAGTTTGTATTTTCATTTATTTCGGTTCATTTTTCACTTTGCAGGACCATTGAAAATTGACTAACGAAGTCAAAAAAGTTTAAAAATGGTGCTAAAATAAACAAAACAATAAAAACAGACATAGTAATGATAAATCTAGAATCCTGATATTGAATAGAAATGCTATAATAACAATCAGTATCAAGAATCAAAGCTTATAATCACAATTCTTTCGAGTAAATGTCATTCGTACCAGTTGTGGAGCAGCTGCGTCCGTCTCCTGGGGAGAATAGTGACCTCTGTAATCATCATCTTCCTCCTCCTCTTCCTCCTGGACCTTCTGGTAGCTTCTCTTTAAATTTTTTCTATCATCTACTAAAAAACAGCATGCAACTTTTACTTCACTTTCAAAAAGAGATGATTCACTTCATGCATTCTGCAAGCCAAGACAAGACAGTTAACAAACATGCATTCTGGTGAAAACAATGCCTGATGAAGGTTGCATGACCAAAACGTTGTACAAAAATAAGATTTGCAAGCTATAGTAGTTATGAAAACGGAAATAACACAAAGGAAGCCTGGGAATGATGTAGCGATGAACACATAAGACACAAATGAAAGATCTCTCATATTGAGCTTCTTTATCTAGACTGCAGCTCTGATCACTCTGGACATTCATCAGATGCATCTTGGGATGTTTTTAGAGCTTTTACGCAATATGCAAGTATTACGCTGACCTGCGGGCTTGTGTTTGGGACTGTCTGAGTCCTCAATAGCCAGTTTGAGCTGCTGGATGAAGTCTGAACGGTAGAGGCTTCGCTCCTGCCAGATGTTCAGCAACCTCTCCATCTGCTTCTTAGAACCATCATCACCACCTCTGCCAGAGAAAGACACAGAATATATGTGAGACGGGACAAATTCATACTACTGAAGGCATGAAGCATATATGAAGGTGTGTTTACCTGGCCACGTGTGAGCAGGCATCAACCAGGACGCCCTCAAAG